TTCCGATCTATATTAGAATATAATTGGATAATATGAGGTAATATAATTTTAGTTGCTTTCTAAAACATACACATCATCCAATTATATTCTAATATGTTGCAGAAGTGTGTTGCCTTGGGAAGAAACAATTCTAGGAGAGTATAAAGATCAATAAATACAGTCTCCAAAATATACATGCCTTCCCTCCCACCCCCATCCAGGGCATAGGCAGTAAGTAGTATTCTTTAGCCATCAATAGATGGAAACCTTGACACAACTATGACTATCAGCCACTTCGTTAGCTGAGGTTTTTTTTTCCCAGAAGCCATGCAAACTTGCATTCAAGACAGACTAGACCACCGGTGCCCTCCTACAAATGTACCAACCTCCTTTGGATCCTGGCCAGGACTATGTGAACTTTTTCACGGTACCATTTGCACTTCTCCTTGGTAATGCTGACATGAACCAAGCTCCCATCCTTCCAGGGGGTGTGGACAAATCTGTTGCAATATTTTGCATGAATTGTCTTCCTGTTGGTATCCTAAGAAAAGGACAAAGTCAGAGACTATAAAACGTTCTTGGAAACTGCTTGCTAAAAAGCACTGACTCCTCACTTGGGCCTACAAGATACCTAAATCAGGATAAAAGCATGGCATCTCTTCCTACATTTTGCACCTCTCTCTTCTAAGTCAGTTACCTCATTATTTCCACACAGAGGCATGCTAATCTCTGAAGGAGTGCTGTGTATAACCTAGTAATGCCCAACATCTCATCTGCCTTCAAGGCTAAAGATAAGAGCAACTGAAACATCTTACTGTTCAATGTCCTGCTCCAGATCCATCCCCACCACCCAGAAAAGGTGCCTGAAGATCTCCAGTAAACCTGCAATCAGTTTGGACTGCAAGAACAACAGAGCTTCGCAGACAAATCACTCCACAATGAAATGGGCCCCCAAGCAGGAGTAATGGCTGAACCCATTCTGTATGGACTCACAGAGCTTGGGCTTTTGCACTAAAACTCTAGTAACAAGGCCACTCAGAAACCATTCAAAGAGGAGATGTCCCCAGGTGGCACCTCCATCTTTGCTTTATCTATATTCCTCTTAGCAGGCATCTCCACTGTAAGATCATTTAATTCTAAGTTCAGCAAACATGTTCTCATGCCTGTTTCATAGATAGTCCTGTGGCAGAGGTCATGCACAAGGTTAGGAACACATTGTGATTCCCATCTATGCCTCAGAGAAGCTAATGATTCCACCAGGGGGGTAGGGGGGATAGGAGAGGATAGTGCATAAGAGGAGAGAGGAGAGAGATGGACAGGGAGGGCGGTAATAGGACTGGAAAGGAAGGGAAGAGGAAAGAAGAAACTCTGGAGTGAGACTTGATTCCTGGATTTAACATCCCTGGAAAGAGCAAGTTTTCATAGAGCACACAGGAAGAGAAGTGACGAGTTAGAGGAGATGATACAAAATTATTTGGAAGAGCTGAATCTTAAAGAAGAGCAGGAAGATGAAGCCCGTGATGTCAAGCCAGAGGCAAATATGAGTAAATGATGGGATAGGAGTCCATATATGATAGAAAACAATGTATCAGATGTGTGTATGCTATCAAAATATCATCCAGAGTATTAGGAAGTTAGGGTCAGTGGGTAAAGTGCCGTCTTCACAACTATGAGAACCTGAGGTCAGGTCCCCAGTACCCAGGTACATTGCTGGCCATGCTAACACACATCTGTAACCCTAGTACTTGTTTGCAGGGGACAATAGCAAGACAAGCAGATCCCCGGTGCATACTAGTCAGCCAGCCTAGCCACATTGATGAGTTTCAGGGCCAGCAAGAGACCCTATCTCAAAAAAAAAGTGGAGACTGGGGGTGGTGACATACACCTTTGATCCTAACACTTGGGAAGCAGAGGCAGGCTGATCTCTGAGTTCAAGGGTAGTCTGATCTACATAGCAAGTTCCAGGCCTGTCAGGACTACATACTAAGACCTTGGCACACATGTACC